GATGGTCTTATGGATTTTTTTTGCTACACGATTCATTTCGGGAACAGTGATATCGCACGACATATTCAAGAATCAGATCGATGCATCGATTCGTATTTTTATTACGAAAACAGCGCAAGAATTTAGTCAATCACTTGAATTGATTCATGATTCCACTCATGCGAATGAGCTTTCTTCAGGCCTCTTGACCAATTTCTTGCCTATGATAGTTTCCTCAACAAACAGTCATAATATCACTCAATATCTCTATAGTGTAACACGGGTTATTTATGGAACTCAAATATCAAATTGTTCATGTAATGAAACTCCTTTATATACAGCACGAACTCGTGTCGACGAAAATAGCTCATTCTTGGTATCGAGAATGCATACTGGATGTTTCATCATTGAAGCTCTTTTGCAATCGAATCTCATCTGTTTCTACGATCAGTCATGCATTGAAACATTGAAAAATATCATCAATCCTAATTTTCAATTGAACACAAGTGCACTCGATCGAACCTTGCTCAGTCGCTTTGCACCAGATTCAATACTTGGTAGTATTCTTGCGAAATTGATGGTTGAACAGTGGATTAATACAACATCACACAAGGCGTACTATGATTGATGTCAACCAAAAACATGTACTTATTCATATGTAGACAAAAACACATGGCTTGTTGTGGTATCTACTATTATTGGACTGACTGGAGGTTTACAAACCATCCTGAGAATTGTTGTGCCTCTTGTTATTAAATGGATTCAATCGCTTAGAAATATCGATCGAGGTAAACTGAATCAGGACTGTTGTTCACAGGAAATCTTATACTTTGAATTACGAAATCGCATTCGATAACCATACTATTTGGCAGGCATGAGATAGAGAAAGTGATGTGATCGAAACGTTCTGTAGGATTAAATAGGCAGTTAGAACAATTTTAGCCTACGTTTTTTGACTGTCAGCTATATTTTCTTACTTTTACTTCTTTATAAAAAACGATGAACTAACATCGTCTTTCGACACTTACATGAATACCAATGAAAACTTACATGATTATTCAAAACCCCTCTACGTTTAGTTTTTATTATGTGTTCACTTTCAGTCTTCCCTTTTTTATAAACCTGCTCGATTTATTATTACACTTGAAAGCACTTTCAATGGGAAAAATAATAATCGTTCACCGCTTTTTGATTGTATTAACATATAATATCTTCGCAATTAAAGTACATATCCAGTATAGTCTTCGTCACTATAGAGTGAAGAAGTTATAATAATAAAGGAGAAAAGACAGTAATGAGTGAAACAAAAGAGAAATGGTAGATAATAAAGAGACAAAAGCACAGGTGAAAATGAAATAACCTACAACGCTATTGTCGAAATGTTAGCAGCCATGTTATTTTTCATTTCTTGACAGACCAATAGCATCCTAGTATATAACAGACATCCGAGTCAAGAGTCGTATTGCTCTACTGGAACTAATCGATTATCGTCTGTCCAGAGTTGTACTGTCAGTAACACAATCTTCTCGAACAACTTCAAATATGTTGCTAGAAGGGAGATGAGATGTGTTCGATTACACTGAGCCATTTCTGCCTTCAATGTGTTCAAAATAGTTACCTTAGTTAATTTCCATTCATCATAATACTTGCACTCTCTTGTCCAAACATTGAAGCACTTTGCCAAATAAACTATGTAACTTGAAGAGATTCGTTTGATCATAAAATTCGACACCGAGTCATATCCAGCCGATCATTTTAGCTTCAGCTTTTTGATCTATAACTTTACTTCAGCGACATTTGTGTTTTTCACATTTTTATTTGACATAGCTAATTGCTTCATCAATTTGATATTTCCCATTTCAATTTGAGTGTCGCGCAGATTGCATTAAACTCATTTCGAGTGCTTTAAATTGCTCTGAGTAACAGCGGTAGAGCTAATCACTGATTACATTCTCCTTCGACAGCACTGTACTACTACTTGCCAACTTACTTTCAATGTTGTCTGTCTTCTATAACAGAAATTATTCTCAAATCGACGAGTTTTGTTTACGTAAATCTTGTCTAAGCGGCTCTTTTCAGACTCAAAAATTTGAAATGTCTTCTTATTGGTGAATATCTTTTTTTTTTGTTTGAATTAAGATTCAGTCGTCTACAGTAGAAAAATCGAAAGGATGAGGATTAATGGACGAGTCTTCTCTTCACTGATAGACTCAGGCCCAAATCAGTAGCATCTCCTAGAGAAATCAAGATAAGCTAAGTTGTTATAAATTTAATCAAAAAATTTCTGTTGATGTTAAGAATGGTATAGAATTGATGACAGTTATATTCGATTACTCATTTAGCAGTTCTTATCATCTCTTACATGAATTGTGAGGCGTGAGATGGAACGCACACACCCGTACGATTGTTCCTAACATTCAGCAAGATTTTTATTAGTGTCAAAACAAAGATCTTATTTTTCTTGTTAGTAATGTGATATATTTTTTGTTATTATAAGTATATCATTAATAAATCGCTTTCGAAATGCATTGAAACAGATGAAAACAATGCTTGTCACCATGAATCTATTTGTTCATGATGAACTAGATCCTACTGGTGATGTGAAATTCGAACTGAAAGCACAGTTAATATCGACTCGTGTGTACATTGTGATTTTAATTGTGTCGCTTGTGATACTTTTCCTTTGCAGATGGCAAGTACCGATAACGAGAACTTTCACTGTTCAATTACCGTCATACGCTACATATACTACTTTATATAAAAGCTATTCGAAATCACTTTCATGTCCGTGTACGAATATCTCTATTCGACATGATCAATTTCTTCGTGTCAATGTTCGATTTCATCAAATATATTCAAGTGCATTCGTTTCCAATGCATCTTTTCAAGTTCTTCTGAACTCAAGAATTCTGAATCTGGTTAGCAACGGTCAAGCTCATATGCAAATTCTAGCTTTTTGGTGTCATCAAGCCAATCAAAGCGTGATCCATAATCTTAATACATTCAATGCTACTCCATTCATTTCTCGTGAAGTTCTTCCTTTTGAACTTTTCGAGAAACAGATGTAAGCGTTAATAGAATTGTTTACGTCGTCAATGACGAGCAATTTTGTTCGTCTATTATATATGAACAGAGAATCAAGGTCGAACAACCTACTCGAAAGTGGTTATCAAACGGTTGTCACGCGAATTATTGTTGGTGTTTTTCCCAATATCAGTTGTAGGAGTATGTATACTGTTTACACCAATAACACATGCAACTGTTTACTCTCCAATAATTGTACTGATCCATTACGCTATTTTGATCCGCTTATTCGATCAAAAGTATATACAGCAGCCGGTCTTCGAAATGGTTGTTACATTGAAGAAGCAACACTTCAGTCGACTCTCGAATGTTACTACAATCAAAGCTGTCTTGATAGTTTTCATGCTATGATAGGCATTGATCAATTATTTCAGACAGTAGCTCTCAATTCGACTCCAACATCGAGTAGATTTAATGCTAGTTCATACATGAGTGATCCAGCCACAGTTATGATGGTAGAAAATTGGACAAGTACATTAAATCATGTAGCATTCTATAATAGTTGTAAACCAATCAAGTGTGTATATTCATACAGAAGCAAGGATGAATTCCTGTATGCCATTATTACAATTATTTGGTTATTCGGTGGCCTAACGATGATTTACAAAGTTTTGGTTCTTATAATTGTCAACTTTCTGATGCATCAAATTTTTCGAAGGCCAGCAACCATAAAAAGTAATTTTCTTTTCTTTTGAAACTCTACATCATAAGAAGAAAACTAACATTCCATCTTGAGACTTATCGGACATAGCATATCTTTTAGAATAAAAATTTTCCGCTTTAGAAAACTGGCATGAATAGAAAAAAGATTAGGTTAACCTTCTATCAACTGTATTTGTTTAATCAACTTAGTATTAAAAAAAAGGTTTTCGATCTCCAAGATTCTCACAATACTATTCACCACATTGAAGAAAATTGATCAATTTCTATTGAAGAAATTTAGTATCTATCTTTTCTTGCTTTCAGAGTTGTTCTTCAATGAGAAATTTCATCGATTATGGAATAAACTCAAGAAAGCAATCATCGATTTGAATTTGTTCTACACACCACCGGCATCCACTATCGAAGTCGGATACAGACGAAAAGTACAGGTTATTTCAACACGTATCTTTATCATTCTTCTACTTACTTCCCTTATTATACTGATCATTTATCAATCTCAAGTACCTGTCATACAAATAATTACTATTCAAATACCCTCCTACGATCAGCACACAGCTATCACTAATAGATATTCTAGAACCCTCTCCTGTCCTTGTACAACTATCTCGATTCCATATGATCAATTCATTCAATTGAATGTCGTTCATTTTCACCAAATATGTCAAAGTATCTATGTAACAGCGAGTTGGCGAAAGTGGATTTTTCGTTCAGGTACTGAAGCTCTCTTCATGGAAGATTTTCGTTTCACTGTCCCACCTTTTTTTCGTGCATTGAGCTCACTTTGCGATATGACACGAAGAGTCATCAACGATGAACTGATCATATTCAATGCCAAACATTTTGTCACAAGTCATGTTATCGATATTGATCTCTTTCAAGTAGAATGTCAATTACTCATGGAATTGTTTATCTCATCGATCATAAATACATTTATACGCTCGATGCGACTTTTACGGGATACTACTCAAGACAACTCTCTTATTTCAGTGGCGACAGCTAATATTTTATATGTCCCCGTGCTTCAGAATAATAACATTATTCTCAGAACATTGTATCCCACTCGTAACATCAATGAATCGTCGAATTGTACTTGTCAGCAAACAAAAACATGTGTTGCTGAAGCAGGTTTCTACTTCACCGATTCGAGCAATCCTCAACGTTTTCTACGATCGCCCATACAAGGCTTGTTTATGGGCTGTTATATTATGGAATCTCTTTTACAATCCAGTCTTGTTTGTTTTTATAACCAATCCTGTATCAATTTATTTAAGAACATGGTACATTCTCCTACGAAACTGAACACAAGTGCACTTGATCCAACTTTACCCGGTCGATTTGCACCAGATGCAACAGTTCGTAGTATCGTTACTCCATTAATGGTTGAAGAATGGATTAATACAACATCACACAAGGCATATTATGATCGATGTCAACCGATCACATGTACTTACTCATATGTGGACAAAAATCCATGGCTTGTCGTGATTAGCATTACTCTTGGACTGATCAAAGGTTTAACAACTATTTTGAAAATTGTTGTATCTATTGTTGTCAAATTTTTCTGTTATTGCTGTTGCAATCGAGTTCAACCATTATCTAGTAACTGAAAACTGTGAAACTCGAAAACATTTCGTATATACATGTAGTTTGCTTCGTCATCGTCGTCATTATTTATGTTTAATGTAGTGCAATCACTTCTCAAATACATTCAAATAAAGATTAAGTTTTACACATTCTGAACTCGTATCCAATTTGAAAATCATAGTGTTACTTTTCGGCATGAATTTCTTCATCGTTAACATCGATCAACTAATATTGAAACTTGTCAGCATTGGAAACAATTATATTTTCAATGATACTCTGATTTTTCAGATGGAAAGAAAAAAACTCGAGTGAACTAAAAAGAACTGTGGCCAAATGAAAACTACAAGCAATGTCGACAATACTTTGCAACTTCAATCTTTCTATTCACCAGATTTACAGAAACCCACAGAAGTTTTGTTATTTATTCACACTAGCCGACACCTACTGTGTAGAACTATCTGACTGTTCCTATTGAGGTCTTTTCTTGAATATAAACAACCAAAAATATGTTATAAAAGGAGTTTAAGTGATTTTTTTGTGTTTATTTTGTCTGTTATGATTGAAGTTTCATTATTTTCATATGCGTATCTTCTTTCGAAGTTCTGTTGAGTAATCGAAATAATAAGCGTCTTACCTTATTTTTTTCAAGAACTATTCAAGAACTTTATTATTGTCTTATATCTTGAAATCAATAATCATTTGTTTCGACTTATCGACGACTCAGCACTGTCTATTTGATCTCTAGTGCAATATTCTCGAACAAATCGTCAAAGGCTTTGCCGGTTCCGATGGAATTAAGTATCATTCTTGCGAGAAGCTTGAAAGAGCTAGATATTAGAAATAAGCTGGAATTTCGATTGGATCTCGTTGTTGCAATTCAACACATTTCCCTCAGAAGAATTCTGATCGACTGTGATCAAAACTGATGCCGATAACTTTAACCTGATCATGTACCACGATCATCAGAAAACTATCTCTGATAACTATAAGAATCTTCGGATTTATTCCAAAACCTAATTAAACAATTGCAAAAAAATGGACATGTTGCTTTTTTCAGAAACTTTGTGAATAGCAGTTAGTCAAATATAGGTTCGCAAAGTCCTGGACAAAGTAGATGATGATCTGTCTATTTGAACAGGTACAACGTCACATAATTCGGAATAGATATATAGGTTACATATGGATTATAATAAGCTTTGATTGCTAGAACCAATCCGATAAGAATCGATTGACTTCGATTAAAGTCGAGTCACTCAAGACTAGCAACATCAGATTTTCTCGTTTGTTTTTCTTCAATCAACTTGAGAAACTTTGAGAGTTTGAATGGGTAAAGAGAAGATCCTCCTTCTAATTTGAGACAGCCAGGTTCGAGATAAACATCATTTGTAGTTCTACTGTTGATTCTGGAGGACAAACGAGTATAAACATCTATCAATTCGATGTCAAATCATTTACTTGATTTTAACAACCATCAAGGACCAATGATCGAACTGTGGCTGGTGCTTTAATTCCTTACAGCATAATCAACATGCTGTCAATTCATGAGCACCTGAATGAACTTCAATGAACCGAACACACTAGAAAACAAAGTGGTGGGTGTGGGTCGCATTAACAACAACACAACCACACTCACACCCATACCCACACCCACACCCACACCCATTGAAATGATTAATCGTACCATCGAAATTCCTGATCATACCATGAAAATAGTCGCTTGTACCAAGTGTTACAGACAGACGCACACAGGTGAATTTCGATTTCTAGACTCTATCCCTTCAGTCTATGGAATTTTAAAAGATTTGAGGTTTTCTTGTCAGTATAGATCACGAATGAGCATATGAGAAAATTTCAAAATTTCTTCTGTAGATCTCGTCTTAGTGAAAAACAGGAGAGAAAAGAACCCCGGAATAGCGAATCGTTCGGTAATGCGCTCACATTTTGTAAATACCTTTTGAAACTCATTCCGCATTATACATATATTAAAAATTCTCCATTGGTCACTCTCTCAATTCGATAGTATTTTCGCTAAATCATTTTCATAAATGGCGCCGTTTTCTTTCGTTTTTTATTTCCAATCACAAGGGTATGGGTGAGTGTGACCGTGGCTGTGGGTGTGCGTGTGCGTATCGGTGTAGGTGTAGGTGTGTTCTTTTCCTGTACACTCACACCGACACCCGCACGCACACTCGCACCCACATCCCCAACCTTAATTATTAACGCTGCTGTTAAAAGCTTTCTCTTATAATTCAATTCTCACCCACGAATGAAAATAATGAAAGTTGGCCAGATAACCTAAGAGCTTCTTCATTAAGGAGTTTTTTTTTTATTATCGAATGGTGAAACAATCAAGGACCCACAAAAAATAGCAAATACAGCTGCTGACTATTATGAAATGTTATTCCAGGAACCAGCGATAGTACGTCCACATACGTATGTCCACTCTCCGATGGTTCAATGGAACAACATCTCAGATACAATACCATCGGTGACGTATCCGGAAGTTTCAGCTATACTACGAACTAGGAAGAAAAACCAATCGTTAGATATTCATGGTCTCTCACTTTACATGCTTCATAAAATACCTCAAAATTACTGACATTTGTTGATGAGTCTTTATAATTATTCATTTTCAAACGGTTATATTCCGAAGAAGTGCAAACAAGTTAGAATGGTGTTACTGGCAGAGAAACATGTTTTATGCACACCCGACCAAACAAGACCTATCTCGCTCTTTGATTTGTTTCTGAAAGTACAAGGAAGACTGTTACTTAATCGCCTTCTACGAGTTCTAAAAGAAACAGGTATCCTGCCGGGGAATCAATTTGGCTTTCGCTCTCAACATCGCCTTTAAATTCGTGTACTGCTACTCGTCAAGCAAATCGCGTCGTACATATCGAATAGTTCATCAATCGCTACGATCTTCATTGATTTCAAATCGGCTTTTGGTCAATTGTGGTTCGATGAATGTTTAGGAAAACTTTCGATAACGGGTATGTCGCAAGCATATATCAACTGGATTATAGCGTGGCTAAGCAATCGTCGAGCAATTATTGAACTGCAAAGTAAAAGATCGAGATGGATCTCAATTAATCGAGGAGATCCCAAGGCGCTAGTCTAACTTCGACGCTGTTCATTGCATAACAAAGTGATACGGTTGACTTCTTTCCTGGAGCTATGTCTTTGTCTTCGTGGATGATCTCGCTACAGGGCTGACGGGAAAAATTGGACTTAGATTTACGGAAATAGTGTATCGATTTTGAACGTCGAGTCGAAAAGCTTTTGAAGCAGTTGGAATTCTGCTCGATTCTGGCAGTACAGTGAATCAACTACTAAAGGCTCAAGGAACGTTCTCAGCTAAAGCCGTCTGCTATCCAAGCCCATAGTCACAGCTCCGCTGCGGTGATAAATCGTTAGAATGGATCTCTTCGTTTAAGTACTTGGGGTATTGGTTGACAACGAAGTTAGGTTGGGGAAATGTTATTGACAAGACTCGTATAAAAACTCGTCAACGAACGGCACTCGTTGATTCGTTCGCATATAGTGGTACATCATCTACACAGTTAAGGCGTGTACAGTTCTCCACCGTTGTGCTACCGCATTTCACATGGTTGTCTCCACTGTATTCCTTATATACTGACACTCAATAAAAGGATCTTGGACATCTATACGATACGTTGCTGAAGCGAATTTATCATTGCCAGTATTGAGAGAACGACATCTTCTCGTCAATATATAATGAAAAGCCGTTGGATGATCTGAACCTCATCTATGGGGAGAAGTATACAAAAGCGTTGTCAAAAATATAGATGGATTAGTACTTCTAGAACAATCATCACTTAATTCTCACAGATCGTATTAGCAAGAGGGAAGGACGTAGATACTGCCTACGTAGATCAAAAAGGTTCGTTCCGCACGTTGATGTATTAGGGCAGGCACTTGAATGGATGATGTCGCATGGTTTTGGAGACTCAGTAGCGGCACTTAACGAAGAAGAATTCTTGTGTTTTGCTCAATTTCCTGAAAGTTTCTAACAAACAGAATTTGATCAAAATGGTCTTGGATCCTGATGACAGAAAAAAACAATATATGAGAGCACAAGAAAGTGGAGAGAAGTGGAAAGAAAAGAAAGAAAAGCAGAACAACGTGAGAAGTATGGAAGGAAAATAAAACCGAAAAATATGAACATGTCACTCATCTCTTAGAAGAAAAAAGGAAAAAAACAATTTCTTTCCAGTTATTTCATTTTATCGGTGTGGCATATTATATCAACAACACAGAACCCTCTCGGTGCCTCTTTCTTGAGTTGACTCGTTACATTACAATATAATACAATACACTCGTCTTTTTCATCAATATACTCTTAGCAGCTTTTCTCCGTACTAATGATGATCCGATCCATTCGTCTATCTATCTATGCATTTTGGATCCTTGTCATTATCAGATTGTCTTTTACAACGAACATGAGGTATAATCACGTGAAATTGGATCAGCCTCTATAAGCTGCCTTAGATGAGCAACGGTACAGTGAAAGATCAAAGTGTGTAGATGTGGGTGTGCGTGTCATTATGGATGTCAGTGAATACATGATCCTGGACTTGTACACCCACGCCAATATCCTTTGCACATGGTCTCAATGCAGCCAATGGGAAGAAGCAAAAAAAGAAAGCCTTGAAATAATACCGAGGACCCCATTTTGTCACAGTGACGATAAAAAAGAGCCCATATTTTGCCACATCATGATATTGACATCAATGATAGGGTTTCTTTAAAAAAAGCTACATATGTAGTACTCAATAAAATAAAACTTATTTTTTTTTTAATCTCTCACTTTTTACCGCTATTGCAGCAACAGATATATAAGCCGAGCGGCTGAGTTGCAACAACTAAAACCAACACCTGAATGCCAACAGTTGCAGAACACCCAGCCATCAGAATTCAGGAATTTTGCGATTTTATGTATTCTTTTACAGAACTGATTATTTGATTTGTTTATATTCTATTCCGAATTATATAGCATTCTATGTCACAAAAAACAATGTTAAACAGTCGTATGCTTACTCTAAGCTTGTCTTCTGTTACTAGCAACACAATTTCATTTTGTACTCTGTATGTTGTTTTCAATTCTTCATTAAAATATCTCTTCTTTCCGAGATATACAACTACAATTTGCCTATTCTCATTTCATCTTTTGCTATTAGTAACACAATTCCATTTTGAATTCTGCTGTTTGTTTTGGGAAAGCGAAAATTGGTCGAACGAATATTGATCTTATAAATTCATATGTTTGAAGTTAGCAAGACAAGCAACACCATAATCAGATAAATTCGTCAAACAATTATCTATAACAGCTAAGATAGTTTTCATTACTATTAATTGCTCGATCACGAACTTCTTTTTTATAAAATATTCTAATTTCAATTGAAACCCCATTATCATTATGATTATGTTTATCATTTTCATTTAACAATATTGAATTAATATAATTACTATGAACTCGACCTTTACATTTAGGTTTTCGAGCATGTTCACATTTCCAATAAGTTTTATCAATAGTTACTTTATCAATAATGTAAGAAAACCCTTTCGAAAGTAATAGAGATTTGTTCCTTGGAGTACTGCTCGTGGTAAATGTTGACATTTTACAAAAAAATGTATAGGTCCATCTAGTATAATAGCTCCTTATATAACCTATTAACAATCTTTTCATATAATCCTTATCGGATTATGTCAAATTTATCTTATAGTAATAAAAGTTAACTAGAATAAAAAATATGTGTTTTTAAAGTGATCTTTAGCCTATAATAATTTCCATACATCCGTGAAATATATGCTTTTTTAGTTTGAAAATTGCCATCATTGTCTGAATGTTTTTTTATCGCTGTTTAACTGATAACTATCAATAGAAAATTTACTTAAATGAATAATTTCCTTTTAACTAAACGCATGACTACTTTTCATATTGACCAATATTCGTGTCGACCAATTTTCGTATCCACCAGTTCTAGTATCTATCAATTTATAACGATCAATTTTCGTTCGAGTATTTTTCGTTCAACCAATTTTCGTCGACCCGTTTGTTTTAAAATTTTTCACTATAATATGCTTGCTTTTCACGATCTTCATGAGTAGTATACCTACTCGAAGTGTGTTCTGTCAGTGCCGACAACATTCTGCTTAATATTAAACACTTTGTCGACACTTTAATGTGTGTGGACGGAGTTTAACAGCTTCCACCAGCAATAGAATTCTATAACCGTATCCGAAGCTACTTGTAAGCTCATATGCGAATTTTTCTTTCCTACGGTCCAGTCTACTGCTTTCTACTTCATAGGCATCCTGAAAATCGTCAAAAACTCAATTCGAGAACGGCACCACCGATTCAGATTTCACGAAAAAAAAATTAGGATCAACCGACTAGTCAAGGGGCGGGGATAAGAATAAACGGAATGGTAGAGAACAAGAGGGCGTTTAGCATATATATGATTCATCAAACTTACAAAACCATGCCGTCTAACTCATTCGTTTATTGAACTTGCTCACTTTCTTGCTAAACACTTTAGTTTTTCTCCAGTTCTTTTGTTAATTTCATTTCTCCGGCTTTCTGCTCTTCTTCAATCGTAGGTCGTCAAGCTCAACGATTTCTTTAGGATTGGCAGTGCGACAGCACCATGAGTGCTCAAGAGAAATACATCCAATAAACAAGAGCTCACTTTTTTTGTATTTATTTCTGTTTCATTTTTCTTTCGTTTTCTTCTATTCAGTTTGTTCCCTCGCTTCACGAAGATAAGCCTGTTCATACGCTTGGTGTTCGTAAAACGGTTGGTTAGCTCGAACTCGAAGAGTTTGTTGAATCACTTGTTTCTGAAGATGTACTTGATTCAGTTGTTGCTAGTGAACTGGTTGATTCGTTCGGACTCGAAGAGTTTGTTGAATCGCTTGTTTCTGAAGATGTACTTGATTCAGTTGTTGCTAGTGAACTGGTTGATTCGCTCGAACTCGAAGAGTTTGTTGAATTGCTTGTTTCTGAAGATGTACTTGATTCAGTTGTTGCTAGTGAACTGGTTGTTTCGTTCAGACTCGAAGAGTTTGTTGAATCGCTTGTTTCTGAAGATGTACTTGATTCAGTTGTTGCTAGTGAACTGGTTGTTTCGTTCAGACTCGAAGAGTTTGTTGAATCGCTTGTTTCTGAAGATGTACTTGATTCAGTTGTTGCTAGTGAACTGGTTGATTCGCTCGAACTCGAAGAGTTTGTTGAATCGCTTGTTTCTGAAGATGTACTTGATTCAGTTGTTGCTAGTGAACTGGTTGTTTCGTTCAGACTCGAAGAGTTTGTTGAATCGCTTGGAGTCAGAGTGTTTGTGATATCACTTGGGCCCGAAGAGTTCGTTGAATCCCGTGTTCCAGGATAGTCTGTTGATTCAGTTGGTGTTTGTGATTCACTGGTTGTAGTTGCAGTCGTTGTTGGCACTAGAAATAGTTACATTATGGATATGGTTCAGGTTGGAGATATTATTTTACTTACATGTAGTTGTAGTTGTAGTTGTAGTTGTGATGGATGGCCGAGCTAAACGAAATTTGAATCATAGTCGCATGGGAAATTATGATCTTAGTATAGGGGGAGGGCTGCACAAATACAAATACCAAGTGTACTCCAAAAAAACATCTTCCTCACTTCTCAGAAGAAGAAGCGTAACACTCTCATTCATCACTGTGCACTTGATAAAGGAACCTAGAACTACTTGGCATGTACTACTATGTATTCTGGGTGTGAGTGTGATGTGGCTGTGGGTACGGGTGTGGTGGTGGGTATGAGTATGGGTGTGTTCGATGAGTATGGATGTGTGGGTGCCAGGTGTGAGTGTCGGGTGTGGGTGTTGGTAAAGAGCACAACCTACAGCCACAACCCACATAGCAAGTAATACTAGGTTTTTTCGGGGAGCACATGGTAGCACATGGTAGTGAATGGCAACACGTGGCAATACATGGGAGTACATGTATAGTAATTCTAAGCTTTTTCAGGGAATACATGGCAGGACATGTCAATGGATGGGAGTACATGGCAAGTAATGCTAGATTTTTTAACTGAGCACATGGTAATGAATGAGAGTACATGCCTGGTGGGGTACGCTATTTTCAAAGTGCAACTTGTACGTGTATTTTGCGCATCTCTAAGATTAGGAGCCTGAGCGATTTGGTTTCATTGTGCCTTCGTTCTCGAGGTGTGGTCATTAATGTTATTTTCAGCCCATTCGAATATATTCTGAAACCACGTTAAGAACTGATTTCCTTGTGTCAATTCAACGAATAATAAAATTCATAGTCTTTGTTTCGTGAAAGGCTCAGCAGAGACGAATGATCGTTTCGTCAGATATAAGATGCGTGAAAAATGTGGTTTTGTTTTGGAAGTCATCGTGAGAAAGTAGCGTTTTATTTCGAGTGTTTATCATTGGAAGAGAATTGTTTGTTTGAGCCGAAACTTGTAGGATTTTATGAGGACCATGAATTCTTTTATTGGAAGATTTTTCAGGTAGAAATACTCTGTTGAGATTTGTTTCGGAATACCCTGGTATAGGCTGAAAATGGCGTAAAGTGCCGATCATTCGATAAGGAAAGCTATATGTTACGCTATCAGATAACTGGCATTGAAGTAGCGAGAAATCTTTCGATTTCAAATCTGCACAAAAGAAAGGCTCTCGTTGCAAACGTTATGATTTTTAATGAAGCTTGGCCTAAATTTCATGTGGCAAAAATCTGAATTTATAATCACTTTTTAGGAATGACTATATTGATGTTGTCACTATAGAAAAGGTTTGTTTCAAAAGAAAGAACATTTCCGATAAAGTTTGATCATCAATTTTTATAAAACATCATTGCTCTGCCGAAAAAGCCGTTTTGTTTTGTGAAAAGAAGAAATTGACAAATTTTACGTTACTTCGTTACTCTGTTGCCAGTTGCTTGGTAGCGTAGCAGCAGCTTCGCTTCTCTATGAGAAACAATGATATATATATAGAATTTTTTTCATCATAGGCCAAACGAAGCAGTCGTATTTCATATTTTAATATCTTAGGGTTTGCTCTGAAAGCTTTTTCTTATATGTTGGTTTGGTTTCTTAATTGCACGTAAACTTTTATGATGTATTCCGTCGTACTTTTCTTATTTTTCACAAAATATTGCTACATACTGAGTAAGATGATTGTAGTTATCACACCACCTAGTAAGATTAAACACACTGCCACAATAACTGCAATAAGACCACAACGCTTTTTGCCAGACAGTCCACAGCAGCATCTGGAATATGAGTATTATTCGCAGTGCATATTGTATGTGAAGAAGATATATTTACTTTCGCTTTACTTTAAATTGATCTTGCTTTGGACTTTCGATCCACTTTGGATTTTGTTCATTTCCTCCGATCGGATTCTGTAATCAAATTATTTTCCTTTTTGCATCATCAAAATTAATTTAGCATTTCTCTTACGAGCAAAATATCATTGTTTCTTACAGTTGGTGAGACTCGCTGTCCATGTTTGTTTGTTCCAACACGATCCCACTGAAGTAGTTAAATGAGATAAACATATATGATCAATAGCATAATGTATAATATAGTGCATCCCAAAAACCTTGTCCGCTTACTAAATGCATTAAATTTCGTGCAAGGAGAGAAAAACACATTCTGATCGATTTATATGGTTCCGAATGTCTAACGTTTTCATAACTTTAAATTTCAGTTCAAGTATCTTAATATTGTCAAAATTATTAGTTTTGAGCGCTAATTATTGTATCTATGAAACTTGGCTAAAGATAGTGAAGAAGTATAGATGCAAAATTACACTGTTAAGTAACAGACAACACTATCTCTGTGTGATAAGAATGTATTATTAGATAGAAAGCATTAAAATCTGTCCGATTCTATTTTCTTTGCCATTTTGATGATCACTCAGAAATGCGAAGTACACCATTTTGTAAAGCAAATTTCGCTGTAACCTTGCTAACAGATCAGTTATTTGGAAAAGTCAAAAAGATGCATTTTTTTCAATTGAATTATAAATCACTTTTCCCGATTTTCACTATTGTAAGATCTCATAAGTGAGCATCCATCTTCTTTTAGCCGCCTTGCATTTATTGTGGAGTGATGTTAAAATTGGAAAGAATGTTGTTCCGGTTGCTATGATTAAAGCTTAATAAAACTAGATTTTTAATAAAACTGGACTGTGGAAAAGGTCCAAATAATAATGGTTTAGAAAAAAAGACGCAAAAATCATTCAAAAGTCAATTCTGAAATTTTACACAATAAAGACCATGAAGAGTCGACTTCTAGGAATCATAGATACCAAGGTATTTACTAGAATTCAAATATATCAAAAGAATCATTTAATTAAGCTCTACAAACGCTGAAATGTTCACATTAATAGGAGATACTTTTGTATACGATGGTAGAAACCACATGGAAATATCCATGTATTTTTCTGTATTGATGCTAAGACGCTTCGGGCAGGGGCGTCGAATGTATAGCATACTAATATTAAGAAATTATTAATGACCTAATCATTAATATTAATAAAAATAGGCAACTAGCATCACCTCATTTTGTTATAATTAACTGAGGACGATCCATTTGACTATTAATGTCAAGTTAAATGTTTCTGTATAGTCGTACGATTGTCTACCCAGAGAATAAAAAAATCAAACTAATTTCATTTAAATGGTTATTTCGAAACTTTTCATCGAAAAAATTCCATGACTTCGGCTATTTCACAAAAATCAGAATTACCGCAATACTTTCATTATTTTTGTATCATTTTCATCTCATGAATTTATGTATTCACGAAAAATGAAAATAACTTACATTCCTTCATTTTTTCTAAAATAACTTTCAGCCAGCTACTTTCATTATTTTCAATTAATCTAAACGACCAGATTAGTTTCATCACTTATAGGCGCAGATCCTTGCATTTCTAACGTTGCACAAACTAATGCAAACTGTTTGTCTATTTTTAATTAAAAATGCTTATCATGCGTGAAATTCATGTAAAATACATCATTTGAATGGTTAATCCAAATTATTTATAGATGCGGTCCGTACACATGTCTTCTTGCAAAATAATGTAAAGCGCAAGGACAGAAGAAATATCGTACGCTGCTACCCAGGCAAGCCAAAAAAAGAGAGGACTAGCGACATGTCTAGTCCAAAACGTCCGCAATCGCCGTCCTGTCTAGTCTAAAATACTGAGTCTGGGCGTCAGGACTAGTCAGTATTTTAAAAACCGACATACTGGCAAGACTGGACTAGTCTAATATTTCTGATATATATGTCAGGACTAGTCTGATAGATCCTGAGGGCCAGTCAAGTCTAGTCCCAAATCTTTGGTGTCGACGTCAGGACTAGTCAGTGTCTTATGAGGTAATATGATGACGGGACTGAACTAGTCTAATAATTTTGAAATATAGGTCTGGACTAGTCTGAGATCTTGAGCATCAGTCAAGACTACCATGTTTTACTAGAAATGACAAGCTGTCTAAAGCAGACTAGTCCGAAGTTTAGTACGACATCTTACGTTGATAATTGGTTATATCTTTGATATCTGTCAAGTCTAGTCTAATTCATGAACTGCTTCTTTCGACTTCGGATAAAAATTAACACTTTCTGTAAAGCATGAATTCGAAAACAAAAGACAAATAATGCTACACTTTCCTCTTAATCGCATACAAAATGGTAAAGATAAAATTTTATTTAGATATAATTCACATGTAGATAGGTATACTCATGTAAATGTAGGAAAAAAGGAAAAGATGAAGGTTTATTTAGATATAATTCACATATAGAAAGGTATAGTCCTGCTAATTTAGGACAAAAGGAAAGAATAAAATATTATAACTAAACAAAATATTATTTTTTATTATTTTCCTAGATTAACAGAACTATGCCTATCTATGTATGAATTATAGCTACATAAAATTTTATTTCTTCTTTTTTCCTAAATTAACAGGATTTTGCCTATCTATATATGAATTACATCTAAATAAAATTTCATATATTCCTTTTTCCTTAATTTGCATGAGTATCACTATCTATATATGATTTAAGTCTGAATTGAAGTTTCACTTTGTGATGAATATCGATGATGAGGAAAATATGAAAGTTGTTTTTATTATTTGAAGTCGAAAGAGACATCTACTCTACATGAATTAATAAGTCTTATTAAATAATTTTTTGAATTTCTCTGATCATTAATGCGTGAAAGGCATGTCAGGAAGAGCTAAATGTGTTACTGATGAACCATCAGCTAATATAGTTCAACTGCTTGCCAGGCTAGGTATGTAACAGAAAGTACGTATGTTCGAATCTAACGTTCACCGCTGTGCTTCTATAATTTAGACTAGTCCTGACACCAACATCTGACTAACAAAAGAACAGATTTCAGACGGTATGAATGGCTAGTAGTTAAGCAATGTGTAGCATGTAGTTAGCAATATGAACGATATGTACATATATTTTTTTCGATTATTAAATACATCGGACGGGTGACAGAACGGATCCTCAGGACTAGTCCTTTTAGTAAAAATGACTAGACTATATTGAAGTATTGACGCCCGTCTGTGGGCTAGTCAGAACGCGGTGCACGGACCCCCAACAATATCAGACTAGTCATGTCTAGGCCGTTTTGAGAAAAAGACTAATGACTGACGGGGCGTCATGACTAGTAAAAATAACCAGTCTTTTAACCTGTCTTTTGCTCTCATGGTGACTCCTCGTAAAATTCATAAAATTTGGTACAAAATAACGCTTACCAGACTATATGACTCTGGTGAAGCAAGGACTTTCGAAGTTCATCGCACAGCTCCTCGAAGGGTACTTAGCCGGAGCTTTGTGAAAAGCTCAGGTGCTGCTTGCAGTTCGCGCTGCAGGTAGTTCGTTTGGTCAGGTGGGTGTCTCATAGTTTTACTACTATGAGTTGTTTTAATATTAATGGTTTTATGGGCAGAATTTTGTTGTAAATGTTATTGTTTTTTTTGCATGATTTTAGTGGAAATTTAATTATATTCATGGCATGATTTATCTGCGAATTTAATCATTTCCCCGGCATGTTCTTTCTGCAAGTTTAACGATTTTCATGCGATGGTATTAGTGAATATTTAACCATTTTCATGACATAATTTTCCTGCCAAAATCTTGCATGAATTTAAAATACATGCAAGAAAATGTCCGTTTCATGATGAAAAATGGGATTTTTTCATTTTCGACATAATTTTTCTCTAACAAAAATGTTTCATTAAAATTATGTAATTTACATCATTTTTCCTCATATTTTTATTTCATGTGTAAAAATTAAGGGGAATATATGTTTTTCTTCAAAGTAATAGTGTTTTCATCAATATTTCTGGTTAGAGAAGATCTTTTTCTCCAAAAATAACCTTTTCTAAAGAAAATTTTATTGGCAGGATAAAACTTCGGATTTTTGAGACCTATTCAAGTGCAACTCCAAAATTTCGACAATCCGTATAGGTATTGGTCATCCTTCAATCTATAAATCTTCCGGTCACGTTCTTTTAAATCCATATTTTCACCAAATCAATTTCCCTGACGGAGAGGGCGTAGTTATGGATGTGGTTATAAATTTAATACATTCTTTCACACACATACTCCAGTGTCGTGATTATTTAACCTTTCCCTCTTTATTTCTGTTCACGCATGCGTGGTCAGTCTTTTCTACTCATATACGGAGATTTAACAAAGAAAGGTACAACTTGACATATCAGATGACAAAATATATCACCATGCCAATGGGCATAAGAGGCATTCTCTCAGCCCATAATATCTAGCACGCATACTTTTCATGGCAAAACTGAAAACATGGTCTGGATAAGATAAAAATTTATTCAAGAAACGATAGCCTATGAGAACATAAGATGCATCATATTTGAGTATTTCAAAAAATACTACAAGGTTTATCCAGTGAATGTCGATCGAGCGTGGCCAAAGTTGAAGTTCATACTTGCCACATTCAAAGATGATGAATTAGCTAAGCTTATCGAACTGTATTAGTATAAGAGCCTGTTTTTTTTTCATTCTTTCTAGTAGATGGAAGGACGAAAAATCAAAGTACTACGTAGATATGAATTAATTTTATTATTTACGATGATGTCAAGAAAAAAGGTTCTCAGAAGACAACCGAAAATAGTTTATAAGCAGCGTTTCGGTATGAAAAGAATTATTGATGCGAAGGATTTATTATAGAGTATTTGATCAAAATTCATTCACCTTCCTACTTACAAATCGTTTCACATAAGTTCGCCAAAAAGGAATAAGTATGTTACCACTTATAATATTTTTTATATTAATGCGCTTTGTTATATGGGGCGTTTTTAAGCGGAAGTGTCAACGTATAGATATTTTTTGACGGTCTATCATGTGCATTTTTCAGAATTTCTTACAATTGCATTCTTCAGGAAGACGAATAAGAACACATTCATCCGACAATTGCGCACAAAATAGCTAACTAGATTATTGATTATGAATTTCGTGTTCGGTTCTTTCATCTTAGTATGATTGCTCATATGAAACTTACTACAAATGTGCTACATTTATTCGACTAAATTGCGGCCCATTTAATTTTCGATTATTCAGTAATATTCAAATCATCTCCACGATGAAATTATATTTTTAACATTAGCAAATCACTGTACCAGTTTTTTCATTCACATATTGTTTCGTTTTCTGCGAACTTCTCTGTTGAATATCTTTTTATTCTCTGTCCTTTCATTGACTTTGTATGCTATGCCTGTTACCGTATACATTCGGCAGCTTTCTTTTCACTTCTTTACTATAAATTTTATTTTTTTCTAGCCGTCAAATGGATTCTCGTCCAACACCTTATTCGTCTGAATGTAGTTGTAAACTGAATGAATTCAATTTCATAAAATTATGATACGAAAAAATTAATTTGTTTTCAAATCAAATGATTATCGGTTAATTTTCTTACTTAATATTTTCTTTGTGAATATTATTATGTTTTTAACCCGTTACGATAAGAAAAACTATTTTAAATTACGAAAAAATCTGAAATGATCTTATTAAAACTTATTTACATAATATTGTGCTAGAATAAATGCTTTTCATTCGTATCAAAATTTTAAAAATTTCTGAATAAAATCCTATTGAATGACATCTAAGAACTTATATTGAGACACAAGTAGGTTTTTCGATCATATGGTTCAATCGCCTAAAGGACGAGTAAGTAACATATTGTATGCATGTTCGAATCTAGCCGTTCAATTTATAATATATTTAGATTTGAGACTCATTCGAACTAGTTCAATGCCTTGCATTGAAGCGTGTCATACGAACCATCCCTAAATGGTCTTCATTTTTCAATTTAAAATCATGCTTTGATGGGCGTCATGTCGACTAGACTTGTCTGGTCAAAGTTTTATAAAGTTCTCGTGCAGAACTATTGTCCATTTCAGAGTTAAATGGCCGTGGGCATTTTTTGAATAACTCTAGAAGAACAAGACATAAAGAGCTGATATTTTAATGCTATCTAGAATCGAGGTTGCTCTATCTTTTGACAAAGGTAGATGAAAAAATTCATTCATTTCTCCTCTTGCATGTATCATGAGTCTTGAAAATGAATTAAATTTGACATAAATACAATATAGTTTTTTTATTGTGATATAGTAGGTAGATAACGTATCTTTGCGTTTATCAATCTACGCAAGGTCGAGATTCATAGCTGTATTCATTCCAAAAATGCAACGATTTTACTGAAGGATAGCGACCAGTGTTTTTTTTCAAAGTTTGAGCGAATAAAAAATACTTTCTTCTGTAATGTTTAGTCGTCTTTGATATCTTGACATCATTTATTGATCTTCAGAGTCCTTTTTCACTTAGAATATTATCAAAATAAACTCAGAGTATAGTTTTGGATGATCATGAATCTATATGTTTAGTTAGTTTTATTGGTAATTTTTACGGTGATGTCTCACGCTCACATAATTATTCTTCAATATTATCTTCCATCTTCTTTGATCTTTCTTTGATCTTTATTGGTCTTTCTTCTTTTCGTTCTTCTATACATGTTATATATGTTATATGTTTGTTTCCATTCTATACATAATAAAGTTCGTGCATATACATCAGCACGTATAAAATCTAACAAATAAATAATAAACAAAAGGAAGGCAAGGAATCGAACTCTAACAGTAATCTTTACTCTGGTGATATATGTTCCATTAGATACACTTAATGTGATTCTATTTCACAAGCGATGCCACTCATCGAGTTGGCAAATTAAAGATTGTTTTCGTTTCTTTCGAACTATTGTGGAATTGATTTGCATCCGCTCTTATATGTGGATATTGAATATTGGTTTTTTTCAAACCAGGACTAGAACATCTATAAAAAGCCGGTTAGCGTAGCCCCTTTGGGGCTAAAATATGAAACTCACGTATGTCCTTCTTTCTTAACGAATTAGTGTGAAATACTCTAGATCATTGTTTAAATTCTTTTTCCTTGGTTGCTAATGTCTGTAATTGGATGAGGAAGGAGCGAAAAACCTCGACTTAAAACTTATATTCACTATTTTCTTCGAAAACTTACGTGAGTTCCATACAATCTAAGCAAATAATGAAAAAGTAAGATAGAATTCAAAGATAATTGAAGAAACATATCTGCAGAGAAGCGCAATAATATGCAATGATAGGAACATGTCATCATTTCATATTGATATATACTGTTGTAATTTGTAAATTTTCTAGTTCAGATTGAATACAATAATGCCGAAAGGCCAACACGACAGTCGAGAAACAAAAGAATTTATGTTCAATGTGATCAAATTTTTTGAAGAAGAGAAAGATAGAGCACCCATACCATTATTCAATGTCAATGATCGTATAATGGCTGCACTTCAAATACCGCATGATGCTCTGGTAAATTAAAAAAATGAATTGAAACAGTTAGAAGAAGAACACCAAAAGCTTCTCGAGTAAAAGCTGCTTGAGCAACAGCAACAACAACGACCATATGTACTGGCACAAAAATATAAAAACGAGTGCTTTCGTCGACGATCATCGTCACCTTACACAAGACCCATAAATGACCAGTCCAGAAATTCGGATATACCTCGTCCAGCTGCTAACCCACCAGCGAAACGTGATGGTCCTGGCTGTTTAAAAATTTCTTTAACTGAATATGAAAAAGACTTAGTAGGGCAAGTTCTGCTGATTCATCTTTTCTAGGATATATCCAAATACAGGAAGGTTGCTTACTCGCATTCTCATCGACAATCCCAACTTTCTGATGAAAAGTATTATATCACTTTGGAGAGTGATGAAGAAAATTGGATTCTCATACAGAAGAACAACTACGTTTAACAATGAATTCAACGGATTTCATCGCACAAAGAGCATCATATTTTCGAAAGTTAGATGAAATAAGTCAGAACGGAATACTTACATTTTATCAGTAATTCCCAATTGTCCTCTTTTAGTTACTAAGAATCTATATATATAATGTTCAGAGTGTGTGTGTATCTGTGCCGGGTCAAAGCTCAAATAAGACTCTAAGGGAGAGATCTCCAGGGGCTATTTTATGGGATACTTATAGATCCTCAAGGGCTATCCTATGGGGTATCCATAGGTCCCCAAGGGCTATCCTGTGGGGAGTACCTATAGGTCCTTCAGGGCTATTCTATCGGGGTACCCATAGGTCCTCAAGGGCTATCCTATGGGAGTCCCCATAGGTCCTCCAGGGCTATTCTATCGGGGTACCCATAGGTCCCCAAGTGCTATCCTATGGGGGTACCTATAGATCCTCAAGGGCTATTCTATGGAGGTACCCATAGGTCCTTCAGGGCTATCCTATGGGGGTACCCATAGGTCCTCCAGGGCTATCCTATCGGGGTACCCATGGGTCCCCAAGTGCTATCCTATGGGAGTACCTATAGATCCCCAAGGGCTATCTTATTGGGGGGGGGGGGTACCCATAGGTCTCCAAGGCCTATCCTATAGGGGTTCCCATAGATCCTCCAGGGCTACTCTATCGGGGTACCCATAGATCCTCAAGGGCTATTCTATGGAGGTACCCATAGGTCCTTCAGGGCTATCCTATGGGTTACTCATAGGTCCTCAAGGGCTATCCTAGCGGGGTACTGACAGGCCATCAAGGGCTATTATATTGTGATACCCATAGGCCCTGAGGGGAGTAAGGCAATAGGGAGATAAGGCTATAAGGCCGAAGGCTATATGGGCTATAAAAATATGTGCGATATGAGAGTATGAGGCCGTAGGGCTATTTATCTATGTACATAATATCGAGTGTCTGTATGTATTTTACCGGATGAAAAGTTAAATGTCTGAGGTCATGCGTTAAAGGACAAAACAGCCGTGCAGTATGCACGGGTTCTCGCTAGTATTCTATACTGTTTAGGGATGAAATATGATTTAACAGTGGAGGAGAAACGAACCATTTTGGGTTGATAATCAGGGTCAAGGGAGAATACGCACAAATCAAGGAACAGGTAAACTTCCTTTTGAATTGTTATGGCACGAAAACTGAAACAACATGTTATTTAGGACCTCGTGTTGCAATTAGTGCATTAATCAACGAGAATGATTTTCATCATCCATCAGCTGATATGTTCAAATGCAACCAAGAACACTCAATGGATTCCATGCACTTTATACGCTGGATCGGTGAAACATGTTCCAAGCTACGAAAAGAACTTTGTAAGAGTCTTGATTATTTAATTGTTCATGACGCTTTTTATAAAGGAAATGCACATTCAATAACTATTATTATCGACAATGCCTCTTGGCATCGTGAATTAACAAATAATGCAAAATCACCTCAACGTTCATGAAGAAAACAAAGGATAGCTATCTGGTTGGATGACCATAATATATTATATGATAATGATATTTTGAAGGCAGAATTGCTACAATTGGCTTATGAAAATTTACCACAAAAGATATATAAAGTGGAGGAAGAAGCAAAAAATGTATCGAGTTAATATCTTACGGTAGAGAAAAATCGTTTTATATCTATGACGTGCTAATGTTTTTTTTAAGTTTACCGATGAGACATTGTATCTTAAATCCTATGGAGTTAGCTTGGGCCAGTATGAAAACATACATACATGATAGAAACACGAAGTTTACTTTGATTGAAGTGAGTAAACTGGCATAAGAATGGATAGATAACTTAGATGCGACAGTAGCAACCAATTATATCAATCATGTTACGCAATGTGAGACAACATCTAAAAAGGTCAATAAATATGTTGAAGAAATTGAAGAAGAACTAAATGGTGACGATGACGACGAAGATGACTATAGCGTTTGTGGTACACATACAGATGACGATGATGAATGATCTGTGTGCTGATTTTATGTAAACATCTTGATATTGATTTGAATCAATGGATGTGGACTCAGAGCATTTTTTCGGTGAAAAAAATATTCTTCAATAAAACTGACTAAAGATATAGGTTCATTATCATCCAAAACTATACTCTGAGTTTATTTTGATGATATTCTAAGTAAAAAAAGACTCTGAAAGTCAATAAATGATGTCAAGATTTCAAAGACTACTAAACATTATAGAAGAAAGTATTTTATATTCGCTCAAACTTTGAAAAAACACTGGTCGCTATCCTTCAGTAAAATCGTTGCATTTTTGAAACGAATACAGCTATGAATCTCGACCTTGCGTAGATTGATAGACGCAAAGATACCTTATCTACCTACTATATCACAATAAAAAAAAACTATATTGTATTTATGTTAGATTTGATTCATTTTCAAGACTCATGATACACGCAAGAGAAGAAATGAATGAATTTTTTCATCTACCTTTGTCAAAAGATAGAGCAATCTCGACTCTAGATAGTTTTTAAATATCAGCTCTTTATATCTTGTTCTTCTAGAGTTATTCAAAAAATGCCTACGGCCATTTAACTCTGAAATGGACAATAGTTCTGTACTAGAACTTCTTGAGACTGACTAACCACGTCAATACAGCATGAGTACGAAAAATACTCAACATTTAGCCCATCGCTAAGTTACTTGGGTACGATTTAATGACAAACAGATGTAATTATCAGCAGCATAAATAACAAAGTAGAGCTTGTTCATTTGATACGCAACTAACATTAACTGAAGAAAAGCGAGTTGATTAGTCCAAAATATTTTTTTTAAATATATTAATCAATTCATCTTTGTATATATTTTATCATATTCGGTGCATAAATTTTCAATATTATTTTCTTCATATCAAAGAGTTTACCGAGCAATTTTCTGGAGAAAAACAAGGAGGGGAGTCGCTAAGCGATGAAATCTGTCCCCCTAAGAAATTCGAATTTATCCAAGCGAAACTACCATATTAGGTGTCCGAAAGCATTCTGTAATAGAATTAGTCAAATAGAGCTCGTTTTTGCTATGAACAGGTCCAGTAACTTATTCAATGAGCTTTGCATTAAGAATGATCGTGCCTTTCATGGTAACAGTCTCATTTTATCCATTCAATACATGACCAAGCAGCTTCATTTTCATATAGTTGGATGGGCATTTTTGAGGGCTTTAAAATGGTATAAAAATATTGACGAATAAAAATTGAGCAACATCATTTGATATGGAGATCATTGAACTACATAGTTATTAAATGTCTGAAAAATCGATGGTAGCTACTGGAAGTCTCTATCTCTATGAACCAACCGTATTGACCGCCAGGCCAGTTTTCATTTGGTTGATAGGACTTTTGGAGAGCTTCAAAACAGTATAAAAATATTCAGGAAAAAGCACTGGTCAGACAATGAAATCCTAACCGAACTGCTACCGGATCACGATTTTGCGCCTTTTTTTCACTAGAAAAGAGCCGTTTTAAGTTGAAAAATTATCGATGTGATAGATAATAACATGATATTTTGAATCAGAATCAAAAACTGAGTAGGTTTAACTCAGTTTCAACCTCATTGACTGGCTTTCATTTTTCTCGGAATATTCACACCTACTCCCCCCTCAGGTATGCATCGAAAAATGAATTTCATGAGAACTCTACTTTTATTGCTGCGTGATATGCTATTCAGAGCTCGAATGCCATTTTATTACCTTAGAACTTTACTGACATAGCCAGATTGCATTTTTCATGAAACTCATTTTTCGATCCATATATGAGAGGAATAAGGGTGAATATTCCGAGAAAAATGAAAGTCAATCAATGAGGTTGAAACTGAGTTAAACCTACTCAGTTTTTGATACTGATTCAGAATATCATGTTATTATCTATCACATCGATAATTTTTCAACTTAAAACGGCTCTTTTCTAGTGGAAAAAGGCACAAAATCGTGACCCGGTAGCAATTCGGTTAGATTTCATTGTCTGACCAGTGTTTTTTCCTGAATATTTTTATACTGTTTTGAAGCTCTCCAAAAGTCCTATCAACCAAATGAAAACTAGCCTGGCGGTCAATACGGTTGGTTCATAGTGATAGAGACTTTCAGTAGCTACCATCGATTTTTCAGACATTTAATAACTATGTAGTTCAATGATCTCCATATCAAATGGTGTTGCTCAATTTTTATTCGTCAATATTTTTATACCATTTTGAAGCCCTCAAAAATTCCCATGCAACCATATGACAACGGAGCTGCTTGGTCATATATTGAATGGATAAAACGAGACGGTCACCATGAAAGGCACGATCATTCTTAATGCAAAGCTCATTGAATAAGTTACTGGACCTGTTCATAGCAAAAACAAGCTCTATTTGACTAATTCTATCACATAGTGCTTTCGGACACCTAATATGGTAGTTTCGCTTGGATAAAATCGAATTCTTCAGGGAGGCAGATTTCATCGCTTAGCGACCCCCTCCTTTTTATTTTTATATTAAAAGTAGAAATCCATACCTAGAACGAGCATTACGGCGACCAGAAACGGCCGTACACGGCCGTCTATGGCCGCATATACGGTAACCGTATACGGCCGCAAATCAACTTATACGGTGGTCGTATACGGCCGTATTTCGCCGATCTTATCAGGACAAACTTTCTCTTATATTATAACGACAACACATCGGCATGCTCGCGTAAATCCTAGGGTGATGAAGAACGCTCTATCGATTCCTTGGTATAGCTATGGGACTCCACCCAGTACCACACTGAGAAATAGAATCCCAATACCTCATCGGTCCATTTACTGGACCAATCAGATTTCAGGAGGACTTTTCTCTCTTATTATAAGGACAGCATAAAGGAATGTTCGGGCCGATCGTAGGGTTATCGAGGATGCTCTATCGATTGAGGGGTATATGTATGGGTCCCCACGAAGCTCAACACTGAGAATTCGAAACTCGTCCTTTCATTGATTCATGAAATGGACCAATCATGCTTCAGGAGGACTTTTCTGTCATATTATAAGGACAACATATTGACATGTTCGGCCCGATCCTAAAGTTATCGAGGATTCTCTATCGATTGAGCGGTATATGTATGGGTCGACTTCTATCCCTTTATAGAGATACAGCAATGCGGACTTTGATTGGTCCTTTAGCAGGGGCGTCTTACGAGGTTTTATAATACTGGCGTATACAACCGTCGCGTTGTCACGCGGGCGTAACCGGCGATAGTTTACGGCCGATGTTTACAGTTGCTGTAGTATGCCGTAATGCATAAGGTACGACTGTTGTAAACGGCGATCGGAAACGGTTGACGTACACGATGCCTTACGTTGTTTTCCGACCAAAGTATACAGTCACCGTATTGTTACGGTAGCAGTTTACGGTGGAATTGTACGGTGAGCGTGTACGATTCACGTAATATACTGTAAAGCATCGTTTACTGCTGCCGTAAACAGCTACTGTAAACAGTCATCGTTATTCGCCGTATTTGGTTAGTGAAAGGCCATTTACGGCCAAGCATTATTCACCTGGGTAGCGAACTGCAAAGACACATGAGAATAGAATGTCTTCTGATTACGTGCCAACAGTAATGACCTTTTAATTTTCCGTAAAATTTATCCGACTGTAAAACTGCTTTAGAAATAATGTAATTATGAAATATTTCTAAAGTCTTCGTGTTATAGCTATATCTTAGTTTAATTATTGATCCTCGCGATTAATTTAACAATTTGTATGTAACATAATTTTAGTTTTTTTCAGCTTTAATTACAAAAATTGAAAATGCAAGATTGAATTCAACGTCAAGTATAAGTTAAAAAATTATTTTCTTTTAGTGTTATTTTTTTTTAACTTTTTTATGTTTACCCAATTTTTCTAATGGAAAACACATTTTCCAGACGTGACTAATGAGTAAGAAGTTCTCGTAAAATAAAAAGAGTAAATTAGTTCTATTCAATTTTATGCAACTAATTCGGTATTCTATTATAAAGACTTTAATTAATAGCGAGAGTTGCAAAACACAAGAGTCAAATTGTATGAGATAGCGTCATAGAATGTTCATCAAAATGTAGGAGTTGATCAATTGGTCGTATAATCCATCACCCTCCCTCGGCCCTTAGTCAAAGATCAGCTTGAAGGAACAATGCGCTAGATGCAATCGAAGACCCCCTTAATTTATTAATTTTTGAAAAAATTAGAACACTTAAATCCGAATGTTAAGTGTACTTCAAAAAGTAAAAAATAAATGACGACAGATTGATTTTCAAGGAACTGTCTAAAAATTAAAACTTGATTTCTATTGTTTACTACTCAACTAATAGGATTTCGAGGCAAGTGGAGCTCAGATTCAAGTTTTCCGTCCCAGAAAACCTTTGTCCAAGTTTGATAAAACCTCGAAGTATCGCTTCGCTGATTGGAAGATGGGGCTTTAATTTTGGATCAATCAGAACGTGGACAAACACAGA